GGGAGGTGTTTTAGGCATTACAAGAATAAAAGGGGGTAAAGTAGCGGAACTGACGGGATCTTTAAAAGAAATTAAAAGCGGGGGGGGATAAGTGTTGGAGGGGTTGGGGTTTTTTGTTTAATAAATGATAAACTAGGTATAGGTTGGGAAACAGCAACCGCCCGGGGAGGTACAAACCGTCCGCCAATGAGTGTAAAAGGGAAACCTAATTTTTTTTACTGATGGGGGATTGCTGCTGTCCATTTTTTTCTGTCCGTAAACATGAAAGGGTTTCGGGTACTTTGCACTTCTACTTACATTTAGGTCACATTACACACATTACAAGCTTATATGTATAACACACCCCCTGGTTTTTTTTTCCTTTTTTTACTAGTTCTTTTTTTTTGTTTATTTCCTCTTACCTCCATGGGGAAGTGGAACAGAATTCTTCCTCCGTAACCTGCGTGTTGTAAGAGGCGACTAAAATGCCGGAGAAAGGGGCTAGAAAACCACTTCTCCTGATATATTACAAAATTAAAAGGAAAAACTTTCGTTTTTCCTTTTTGGGCCACCCCGCCTCGGGGGGATACGGCCAGAATTTTGAAAGAAGAAATGTAGAAAGGGGGGGAAGGATTTTAGGGATTGGTAAGAGATTATTTTTCCTTTCATATAAAAAAAGGGGTGACTAAAGAAATTAAAAAAAATTATAGAGGAATAATTTAGGAGTAAAACCAAAAAAGGACGGAGGGTTAATTGAAAGAATTAGTTAAGACAAGAGTGGGTTTTGCAGATGAGAAAATTTTTAAATGTTTTGCATTAATGTCCCGTAATTGTAAAAACAAATAAGAAATCAGCTCTAATTTCATTACTTGGGATGCAGCCAGGGACATGTCCAAGTCTGAGTAGGGGAAAACAATATTCGAAAAGTGAGGAGAGGCTGTAAAACACATACTTATGTACTTTGGGGGCCCCTTTTTTAAGGATGAAACACATTATTTGAGATTTTGCACTAATGATTTTTATAACTTTTATTTGTTCCACTGGCTCTACCAGGGGACTTACTGAAAGCAAACGATGAACTGTCCGAGTGAGGGACGGGACAAAAAATTTTTTGAAGGAACAAAAAATTGACACCCAAGGGGACAGAATGGAGGACAGACAAGGGGTAAAAAAAAGCGGGATCACAGAAAATGCGGGAAAATTTTTCTGGGCTCTCCACACCAGGGGTACCCATAATCAGGGCAAGCTACTCTGTTAACCAGGATTCCGAATTGGGAAATACAGTATTCATAACCTTTTGTTTTATATCTCACTGATCCACAATTTAAAATTTTCATATATGCAGTGAATTTATAGCTCAAGGAAGTTTTCAGAATCTTGATTTTTGATATCAATATTCCAACATTATGTAAAGAATGTGATGAAAAGAGGCCACACCTTTTATAGAATACTTTCCAACCAACTCAAACACTGAAGATGAGAAGAATGTACACTCAGTTGGAAATATTTCATTAATTTGATAGTACCATCTGATGCGAAAATTTTTTTCCCGTTCACCTTTTTTTTATGACTGATTTTTTACTTTTAATTGTACAGGGTGGTTTTCTTTATATATAAAGTTTTGTGAGGGTCATCAGCAGCTGTATAATCCAATTATTCATCATCACTTAATTCATCTTAAAAATCTTCGTTTCAATTTGTAACCACTTATTGCATAGGATAGGAGCAGTGTTTCAGTTGTGGGAAGTACTGGTAAAATGCATCTTCATATAAAAAAAATTTTTTACATAGCAGTCCACATAAAAAAGGGATTACTGCCCATGTTAGGATTTCCTTCTTGCAGCAGGGAATTAATGGTGGGATTATTTATTACAAACAGGACTTGATGGTTAAGCTTGGGCCAACCAAAAAACCCTGCTGTGAGTCTGTTCGGAGAAAAAAACTTCATTACTTGACGACCTTGGGGGGTAATTCTCTCCCTGCCCCACTGAAGCATCGCAGCCTTGCAGCTGCTCCACCTTTTTCACCAGCAATGGCCCCCAAAACTTATACCACAAACTTCCACTTTTCCCTTTATAGTAAGTCAGGCAGTCATACAGATTTTAGAAGATTTTTTTTTTTTTTAAAACTGACTGCTGCAACCCAAAGGAGATCACCCGATGAGAAATGTCTACCTTGGTGTGAGATGGCTGATGTGTTAAAAAATTTTTTTTTACCATATTTTCTGGCATAAAAGATGCATGAGTATGTAAGACAATGTTTCCAAGCAGTTGTAATGTAACGTTAGTAAATGCCTAAAGCATAACCCAAAGCAAGCATTTTTTTTTTTTTTCAAAAAACCCGGGCCATATCCCACCGGGCAGGGTGGCCCAAAAAGAAAAACAAAAGTCTCTCTTTTCAAATTTAGTAATTTATACAGGAGAAGGGGTTACTTGCCCCTTGCTCCCGGCATTTTAGTCGCCTCTTACAACACGCATGGCTTGTGGGGAGAATTCTGTTCCCCTCCCCATGGGGGATAGGAGGGAAAAAAAAAAAAAATAAACTAAAAAAAATAGAAGAAAACCCAAGGGGGTTGTATATAGTGCTTGGGACATTATGTTAGTGTGACCTAAATGTAAGTAGGAGTACAAACATACTGAAAACTTGCATGTTTTATGAGACAAAAAAAGGACACCAACAATCCTACCTCATGTAAAAAAAATTGCAGGGTTCGTTTTACACTCACTTGGAAGGACGGTTACCTCCGGGCGGGGTTTTCTTCTACCAACCTATCCTACAATACTACATTTTCTCTCTTAAAATCCTCTGTTATCTTTTTGGTTTTAAACCTGTGGTTTTTTCTGTTTTTTCTATGGAAAGGTAGGGGCATTTTGAATTTTTTTTTTTAATGTTATTGCCCATTCTATTACGTGTAAACTTTGCTACTTGTTTGTCAAAAATGTAGCAACCTTTTAATGCTTGTTCCCTTTTTTGAAATTACAGGGACCCCCGCATAACGATCACCCCCCAATGCGACCAAATTATGTAAGTGTATTTATGTAAGTGCGTTTGTACGTGTATGTTTGGGGGTCTGAAATGGACTAATCTAACTTCACAATATTCCTTATGGGAACAAATTCAGTCAGTACTGGCACCTGAACATACTTCTGGAATGAACAAAATATCGTTAACTGGGGGTCCACTGTATAACCATTGGTTAGGGAAATACTTAAGTTCATTTAACTGTATTAACTATTATATTCATATTTTTTTAAGATTTTTTTTTTATTATCACACCGGCCGATTCCCACCAAGGCAGGGTGGCCCGAAAAAGAAAAACTTTCACCATCATTCACTCCATCACTGTCTTCCAGAAGGGTGCTTTACACTACAGTTTTTAAACTGCAACATTAACACCCCTCCTTCAGAGTGCAGGCACTGTACTTCCCATCTCCAGGACTCAAGTCCGGCCTGCCGGTTTCCCTGAATCCCTTCATAAATGTTACTTTGCTCACACTCCAACAGCACGTCAAGAAATTAAAAACCTTTTGTCTCCATTCACTCCTATCAAACACGCTCACGCAATGCCTGCTGGAAGTCCAAGCCCCTCGCACACAAAACCTCCTTTACCCCTTCCCTCCAAACCCTTCCTAGGCCGACCCCAAACCCCCGCCTTCCTTCCACTACAGACTGAATACACCTTGAAGTCATTCTGTTTCGCTCCATTCTCTCTAAAATGTCCGAACCACCTCAACAACCCTTCCTCAGCCCTCGGGACAACAGTTTTGGTAATCCCGCACCTCCTCCTAACTTCCAAACTACGAATCTCTGCATTATATTCACACCACACATTGCCCTCAGACATGACATCTCCACTGCCTCCAGCCTTCTCCTCGCTGCAACATTTATCACCCACGCTTCACACCCATATAAGACGTTGGTAAAACTATACTCTCATACATTCCCCTCTTTGCCTCCAAGGACAAAGTTCTTTGTCTCCACAGACTCCTAAGTGCACCACTCACTCTTTTTCCCTCATCAATTCTATGATTCACCTCATCTTTCATAGACCCATCCGCTGACACGTCCACTCCCAAATATCTGAATACGTTCACCTCCTCCATACTCTCTCCCTCCAATCTGATATTCAATCTTTCATCACCTAATCTTTTTGTTATCCTCATAACCTTACTCTATTCCTGTATTCACCTTTAATTTTCTTCTTTTGCACACCCTACCAAATTCATCCACCAATCTCTGCAACTTCTCTTCAGAATCTCCAAGAGCACAGTGTCATCAGCAAAGAGCAGCTGTGACAACTCCCACTTTGTGTGTGATTCTTTATCTTTTAACTCCACGCCTCTTGCCAAGACCCTCGCATTTACTTCTCTTACAACCCCATCTATAAATATATTAAACAACCAAGGTGACATCACACATCCTTGTCTAAGGCCTACTTTTACTGGGAAAAAATTTCCCTCTTTCCTACATACTCTAACTTGAGCCTCACTATCCTCGTAAAAACTCTTCACTGCTTTCAGTAACCTACCTCCTACACCATACACTTGCAACATCTGCCACATTGCCCCCCTATCCACCCTGTCATACGCCTTTTCCAAATCCATAAATGCCACAAAGACCTCTTTAGCCTTATCTAAATACTGTTCACTTATATGTTTCACTGTAAACACCTGGTCCACACACCCCCTACCTTTCCTAAAGCCTCCTTGTTCATCTGCTATCCTATTCTCCGTTTTACTCTTAATTCTTTCAATTATAACTCTACCATACACTTTACCAGGTACACTCAACAGACTTATCCCCCTATAATTTTTGCACTCTCTTTTATCCCCTTTGCCTTTATACAAAGGAACTATGCATGCTCTCTGCCAATCCCTAGGTACCTTACCCTCTTCCATACATTTATTAAATAATTGCACCAACCACTCCAAAACTATATCCCCAGGATGAGTTTTGTTAGTGAAACGTCCAATGCCTTTCCAAATGACAGTTTAACTGTAAACCTTAAATTCCAGATACTCGGCTAGATGTACAACCCAGAGAGCGAACTGACCCTTTGGAGGACCTAACAGCTTTGGGTACATCATTGATCAAACAGAATCTACCAACTAATACTCAGATTCAGGTTCAATTTAAACCCTTAGAAAAGCTGAGCATGAACCAGTTGAAACAGCAACAGCAGAATGTTAACCTGGCAACAGCTTCATTGAACTCATCTGCAAACCTTCTGCACAGCAAAACTAGTCCAGCAGGAATGCTTGGCACGTCTCAGTTTCCTTCCAGTGTTCCTATAACCACTGGTGCTAGTAACAGTCATGCTAGCAAGAACTCTGTAGATTCCTTGCTAAATCTAGATTTGTTAAGTGGAGAGATTAGTGGGAGTTTGGTGACCGATGGAACAAAGACAACACACAGTACTGTTGATGAAGTGAATCCTTTGCAAGGCAGTAATCTGTTAGATAGTCATAATGGTAGTTTATTAGAGGCTCCCTCTCTTAATACCAAACAAGAAATAGCAAATAATTCAAAAAAATTATCTCAAGAAAGTATAAAGAGTGTTGGTGATAGCACCAGAGAAGAACAAGTTCTACATCAAATGCCCAGTTTATGGAAGTGAAGCATATGAACGATATTAAAGTTACCTTAGACATGATCAAGCCAGGTAAGTGTCCATTAGTTACCTTAGATATGGTCAAGCCAGGTAAGTGTCCATTGGTTACCTTAGACATAATCAAGCCAGGCATGTGTCTGTTGTTTACTTTTAGATACAATCAAGCCAGGTAAGTTTCTTAACACTTTTTGTAATTGGCTACTTGTGAACTACAGGAGCAAAGCTATGAACATAATATACCCTTTTCAAGGAAAATGCCTTGATGATAGGTGAAGTACTCTTGATTGAGGAAATAGATGCTACCCTGCCCTTCCTTAGATTAAACCTGATCACTTCTCATTCCTCAGGTATGGTGTGTATAACCCCTATGAATCTAGTACTTCCCTTTGTTTAAAATAAAAAAAATATATTTTTTTTTCAACAAGTCGGCCGTCTCCCACCGAGGCAGGGTGACTCAAAAAAGAAAGAAAATCCCCAAATACTTTCATCATCATTCAACACTTTCACCACACTCACACATTATCACTGTTTTTGCAGAGGTGTTCAGAATACAACAGTTTAGAACCATATACGTATAAAGATACACAACATATCCCTCCAAACTGCCAATATCCCAAACCCTTCCCATTTCCAGGAATCAAGTCCGACTATATGAAAATAACCGGTTTCCCTGAATCCCTTCACTAAATATTACCCTGCTCACACTCCAACAGATCGTCAGGTCCCAAGTTCCATTCGTCTCCATTCACTCCTATCTAACACGCTCACGCACGCTTGCTGGAAGTCCAAGCCCCTCGCCCACAAAACCTCCTTTACCCCCTCTCTCCAACCCTTTCGAGGATGACCCCTACCCCGCCTTCCTTCCCCTATAGATTTATATGCTTTCCATGTCATTCTACTTTGATCCATTCTCTCTATATGACCAAACCACCTCAACAAACCCTCGTCTGCCCTCTGACTAATACTTTTATTAACTCCACACCTTTTCCTAATTTCCACACTCCGAATTTTCTGCATAATATTTCCACCACACATTGCCCTTAGACAGGACATCTCCACTGCCTCCAACCGTCTCCTCACTGCTGCATTTACCACCCAAGCTTCACATCCATATAAGAGTGTTGGTACTACTATACTTTCATACATTTCCTTCTTTGCCTCCATCGATAACGTTTTTTGACTCCACATATACCTCAACGCACCACTCACCTTTTTTTCCTCATCAATTCTATGCTTAACCTCATCCTTCATAAATCCATCTGCCGACACGTCAACTCCCAAGTATCTGAAAACATTGACTTCTTCCAAACTCCTCCTCCCCAATTTGATATCCAATTTTTCTTTATCTAAATCATTTGATACCCTCATAACCTTAGTCTTTTCTATGTTCACTTTCAACTTTCTACCTTTACACACACTCCCAAACTCTACCCTTTGCAATTTTTCTTCAGAATCTCCCATAAGCACAGTATCATCAGCAAAAAGTAACTGTGTCACTTCCCATTTTGTATTTTGATTCCCCATTATTTAATTCCACCCCTCTCCCGAACACCCTGGCATTTACTTCTTTTACAACCCCATCTATATATATATAATAAACAACCATAGTGACATTACACATCCCTGTCTGAGACCTACTTTTACCGGGAAGTAGTCTCCCTCTCTTCTACACACCCTAACCTGAGCCTCACTATCCTCATAAAAACTCTTTACAGCATTTAGTAACTTACCACCTATTCCATATACTTGCAACATCTGCCACATTGCTCCTCTATCCCGCACTTAGAAGAGAGGAGCTTGCGATGACATTTCTATCTGACTTAGACTAACACTAACAGAAAGGAGAGGAGGAGGAAGTATATATAGGCCAGCAGACGAGGATGGGAGCAAGAGAGGTAGTAGTGGAGTCAGTCAAACACTAAGAAAGAGGAGAATTGCAAGGGAGCTAGAGGCCCACAGAGGGTAGGAGGAAGAACACAGAGGGGGGAAAATAATAAAATAATAAGAGAACAAATACCCAAGGCAGAAGAAAGAAAAGAAAAAAAGGAAAAAGAGGAAAGGGGAAGAGAGAGAAGGGGGAAAAAGAATCAGGTTAAGTCATGGGTGTTCTGAAGTTTGGAGCATTTTACAATGTAATGGGAAAGGAAGGCATCTACAGAGACAAAGCCAGGACTAAGATTAGTACAAGGAAAGTTTTGTATAAGAGAGGATTCAACCAAATGGCTTCTGTAAAAGTTAGAAGTAGGGTAGACAGTTTTAGCAGAAGACCAGTCAATAGAATGATTGTGATCTCTGACATGACAGAAAAGAGCATTGTTGGTGTCGGGAAGCCTAACACTACTTTTGTGCTGCCTAAGTCTGCCAGAAAGAGATTGGCGAGTTTCTCCAAAGTACTGAAGAGGACAGGAGGAACAAAAAATAGAATAGACACCAGGATCATTTATAGAGGGAGGAGAGGCTTGAACAAGATTAGTGTGAAGAGTGTTGGTCTGGCAAAAAATAAGTTTGATGTCTAAGGAACAGAGTTGTTGAGATTAGAAAAACTGGAAATGTAGGGAGGACAGAGGACAGGAGAGTTCACAGGGGTAGAGAGTTTGGTAGAGAAGAAAGTCCATTTAGCACGTGAGAAGGCAGTCTATGAAAGGGGAAGGGTAACCAAGACAGGAAATTGAATTATGAAGAGTGGAAATTTCTGAGTCAAGGGACTGATGATCACAAATGAGGGGAGTACAGAGAAAGGACGAGATAACACTTTTCTTAACAGAGGAAGCATGATAAGAAAAGTAGTGAATGTACATGCCACTGTGTATATATAGGCTTGCAGTAAACGGAAAAGGCAAAACCTGTATCTAAGCGGTGGACATGAACATCAAGGAAAGGAAGCAAGGAATTAGATTTCCATTCAGCTTTAAACTTAATGGAAGGGGCAAGATTATTAAGAGCATCAAGAAATGGCTGGAAGAGACAAGAGTCATGCGGCCAAAGAGCAAAGATGTCATCTACATGGCGGAGCCAGAGTGAAGGGCGCACATCAGTAGTAGAAAGAAGAACAGTCTCGAAGTATTCCATGTAAAGATTAGCAAGACAGGAGAAAGAGGAGAGCCCATAGCAACACCAAAGGTTTGAGAATAATATTTACCTTGGAAGGAAAAGGAATTTGAGTCCACACAAAGGTGGATAAGATCAAGAAAGACATCAGTAGGTCTGGGGAGATGAAGTAACCCTTCATTGGCCTTCTCTCTGAGAAAATTAAGGGCATCATTAAGAGGGACATTAGTGAAGAGGGACTCAATGTCAAGACTAAGCATCTTACAGGTCGGGAGAGGGTGAACAGGTTCGATGAAGTCTTGAGAGTGTTGAAGGTGGGCAGGAGAAAAAGTACCAAAAAAGGGAGTAAGGGTTTTGGCCAGCCAAGAAGCAAGAGAATAAGAGACAGAACCTCTAGAGCAGTGGTTCCCAAACTTTTTCAGCTTGTTACCCAATTTAACATGCCACATAAAGCATGTTACCCCTTTCACAAAATGTTGTTATTATTGATATATATGGCTAAATTAAAACACTTGAGATATTTTCTTTTATTTATTGTATTTGAACATTGTGCATCTCTAATGACTATTACCAAAGATGTCAAGAACATCAGTGGGATGGATGGAGTTGCATACTTGAAGCTAGTTTAGGAATTCTTGGCTTCGTGGTTGAAAGTGCCAGCCTGGCATCGTTTGCAACATTCAAGCGAGTCCTCTTTTTTGTTTTCATACCCAGCACAGTTGAGAAGCCCTTCTCGCACAGATACGTTGTTGAGAATGAACCAACAACTTCAAGGCTCTCTTGGACAGAGTTGGCGAGTCAGGTAGTCGTGAAATCCAAAAGGAATCTGCATTTGGTTTTGGAATTCGATTTTCAAGGCTTCATTGGCTCGCATTGTGATCCACTCCTCCTTTGCAGGGAAATCATCATCATGAATGGCATCATCAGGTACAGAGAAGGGATGAATGATCCACTGAAGAGTGGCTCTTTCTTGGTCACTCTCTGGAAAGTAGTGATGCATGCTTGTTTCAAGCCCCTTCAAATGGTCGCTCATTTCTTTGTTGATGGTCTGTAGAAGTGATCCAGTATCATGACAAATTCTCCTCAACAAACTGGTCTAGGTGGGAAACTGGGCGATCACTCCTTTCTCCAAGCGCCGAATCCAGAGTCCCAGTTTCCCCAGAAATGCAGTCACAGTGTGATGGGCATCAATGACAGTCGTGTTTAGGCCCTGGAGTTGCAGATTACCACTGTTCAGCTCCGCAAATATGTCAGCCAAGTAACAAAGTCGAGCAAGCCACTCCTTATCGGTGAACTTGGTAGCAAAAGGAGATCATTTTTGTTCCAGGAATTCCTGAACAGCTTTTCGGAGCTCAATGACTCGACGTACAACCTTGCCTCATGACAACCAGCGAACATCGGTGTGGTAGAGCAGAACTTGATACTGCTCTCCCATTTCCTTGCACAGCTCCTTGAATATGCGCGAATTCACATCTCTGGACTTGATGAAGTTGACGATTTTCAACACATCTTCAAACACTAACTTCAGATTACCAGGCAGGCTTTTCGATCCAAGAGAGTACCGATGAATGATGCAGTGATCTACAGAAATTTCTGGATTGATAGCTTGTATGAGGCCCCGTAATCCACGATGACCACCCATCATCGACGGTGCTCAAGGTGCACAAGGCATAATCAGATTCTCTGCAATGGTGTGGCATTTCTGTTGTTCGGCAATTTTATATGCAACACAGTAGGATGCTTTGACCGCAGCTTGAAGCTTTTGGGCTTGAATTCCAGATGAGCCGAACTGGATATTCTTCAGTGCTACAGCCTGGCGCTGAAAATAAGCCTGATCCTTATTTTGAAGATTTGATGGCACTTCTGGAGGTGAGCTGAGAGTTTTGATGGCTTGAGGCTTTCATTTGTCAACACTTTGTGACATGCCACACATTGTGGCCCATCCTCTCCACCAGAAGTTAAATTCACAAAGCCATGGCAAAGAAAGGTGTCAGTGTAGGTGC